ATTCAAGGAGGAACATGTCCCTTGATGGATTATTTCTCTCGCCCTTGGGCTGGAGCTTGCAACCGCGTCCACGCCGCACGATTCACGAATGCGTTGTTTATCTTGCGTCGCTCACGCGTCGTCCCCCACGTCTTCCGCCAGCCGTTTTTTGGTCAAGAGTTGCGAGCGCGCCGCATCATCTCCTACTCCCCAGCCTGTCACGGCCCTTGAGGGGGCCCTCGACTGCAGCGCCGTGCGATGTCAGGCATCCACCTGCACATGCAACTGCCCGCGGGGGCCGTCGCCGTCGAGATGCAGATACAGGTCACGGTGAGTCTCGTGGCAGGTTCGGGCACTGTGCAGTCCGTCGTCGCGCCTGGCGCTCCGACGACGATGAGAGACCCCCACTCCGACGAGCTGGACCCCCGCTCTGATGAGACCGATGACGATGACGGTGAATGCGGCGACACCGATGACAGCATGGGTGACGGCGACGGGTCGTTTGGGGAAGATAGCGACTCCGTCGTCGTGCCTGGCACGGGCCTTCCGCCTGGCGGCGGCGGCGGCGCGCCGCTCCCGGCGGCGAGCCTCGCCGACATTCGCGCCCGTGCCCACCCTAAGTATTACCGTGCGCATCGCAGTCACAATCTTGATTGCTTTAGGGGCGTTTTGTTCTGCACCCTCTGCGGGCGGCACTGCGTGGGCACTATAAAGTCCCTGGTTGACCCCTGCCCGCCAATTGGCCCCACGAAAGCGGGTCGCGAAGTTTTATCGCGGCAGTCGAAGGGACTTCCGCCGAAGAGCGGTCAGTCCTTCCCGCCTGGACAGTGACTTGATAAGGCGCCCAGATGTGCAGGTCAGGGTCAATCCGCTAGGGACTAGCGCCGTGTCTCTCTCTCTCTCTCTCTCTCTCTCATTTTCTCTCCCACTCTCTCCTTCTCGCTTTCCCCTTTGCATGTGCCCGCTGGCGCGCCAGCGTTCGGTTTACTTTGGCCGCAGCCGCGGTCGCATACTTCCGCGTTCGCCCTGGGTGCCCGGTTGCGCGGCTCATATTTCGCGCGTATTTTCGCCGCGGCTGCGGCCGCGAGCAGGAGATCATATGTACGCTTGCTTTTCTCCGTCGCGTGTACAGGCCTCTCTCTGTCGACCCCCATCTCTCTCTCGCTCGCTGTGTCTTTGTCGCTTTTAGGACCAGTGGCGGTTCCTGCCGGGATGGACACTATAGAGCGATTCTCGCCCACCGGCACCGGCACCGGCACCGGCACCGGCACCGGCACCGGCACCGGCACCGGCACCGGCACCGGCACCGGCACCGGCACGGGCACCGGCACCGGCACCGGCACGGGCACCGGCACAGGCACCGGCGCCTGCGCCGGCGGCATTGGCACCGGCACCGGCACGGGCACCAGCGCCGGCGCCGTCGCCGGCGCCAGCACCGGTATTGGCACCCGCACCCGCATACGCACCGGCACCAGCACTGCACCGGCACCGGCACCGGCACCGGCGCCGGCGCCAGCACTGGCACCGGATGAAAAACATCATTGACATTGAACATCATGACATTTCCCAAACAGTGCTTTCCTAGTATTAGCTGGGTCGTCTGAGGGGCGGTCTGGCGGCTCTCTCCTCCTCGCCGTTGCCGCCCTGTCGCCGCCCGTCGTCGTCTGGGCTTGAGGGGCGGTCTGGTTTTTCCGTCCTTGCCGTCGCCCCCCCTTGCTGCGTCGTCGCCGCCCGTCGTCTTGGCCTGAGGGTCGGTCTGGCGGTTCCTTGCTCGTTGCCGTCACCGTCCCGTCGCCGCCTCCTCGTCGCTGCCCTGTGCGCCCCCCCAGCGGCTGCAATCCAATCGGTTGCAAGCCAATCAAGTGCAAACCCAGTGGAATCGATTGCAGTCCAATCAATTGTAAAATTATGCAAACGCAGTTCCCCACATAAAAAAATTAAAGGAGAAGCTCATCGAACGAGTAAGTACGCACGAAAGGGCAGACGAAAGAAAGGAGGAGGGAGGACAGGTGCTCAGGAAACGAAGCCTTGTAAATAGTACGGGTTGTTGATGCCCTCTTCGTTTTGGCGGGGCCCCGCTGGAAGGGGGGAGGCCTACGAAACCTGGTAAAGAGTAATGCTGTCCGCGACCCTCCTCGTTCAAGCGAGTCCTCCTCCTCCTCCTCCTCGTCGTCCTGCTCCTCCTCGTCCTCCTCATCCTCGGCATCATCATCATCATCATCATCATCATCATCATCACCAGCATCATCATCGTCGTCATCATCAGCATCATCAGCAGCATCGTCGTCACCCCGTCGTCGTCGTCGTCGTCATCATCATCATCATCATCGTCATCATCATCAGTATCAACATCATCAACATCATCATCCTCATCGTCAGCATCATCGGCATCATCATAACCATCATCATCCTCATCCTCATCAGCATCATCATCATCGCCAGCGTCATCGTCATCATCATCGTCGTCGTCGCCACCATCGTCATCAGCATCATCATCATCATCATCACCATCATCATCATCATCAGCATCGTCATCATCATCATCACCATTACCGTCCTTTGCATCATCATCATCGTCCGCATCATCGTGGACGTCATGATCATCATCATCGTCGTCATCATCATCAACAGCACCAGCAACGTCAGCATCAGCAGCAGCATCGTCATCATCACCAGCATCTGCATCATCATCCTCGTCGTCGTCGCCATCGTTGTCATCATCGTCATCGTCATCATCATCATCGTCATCATCATCAGCATCATCATCATAATCACCGTTATCGCCATCGTCATCGTCCATCACCATTATCGCCATCGTCATCGTCATCGTGAACAGCAGTATAAACATCGTCATCACCATCATCATGATGAAGCCTTGCTCATCGCAGAAGTCCCCCTCCTCCTCACCCTCCTCAGTGGAAGGAGTAGGACGTGAGATGGATAGGTAATGTTTTCCCCTCCTCCTCACCCATGTCAGTGGGAGGGGCACGAAACCATTTAAATAGTATGGGTTTCCGATACCCTCCTCGCTCAGACGGGGCCTCCCTGGAGAGGTGGTAGGGGCACGAAACCATGTAAATAGCATGGTTTTCCGATACCCTCCTCGCTCAGGCGGGGCCTCCCTGGAGGGGTGGGAGGGGCACGAAACCATGTAAATAGCATGGGTTTCCGATACCCTCCTCGCTCAGGCGGGGCGTCCTTGGAGAGGTGGGAAGGGCACGAAACCATGTAAATAGTATGGGTTTCCGATACCCTCCTCGCTCAGGCGGATGGAAAGGGCACGAAACCATGTAAATAGTATGGGTTTCCGATACCCTCCTCGCTCAGGCGGGGCCTGCCTGGAGGGGTGGGAGGAGCACGAAACCATGTAACCTGTATTAATTTCCGATACCCTCCTCGCTCAGGCAGGGCCTCCATGGAGAGGTGGGAAGGGCACAAAACCATGTAAATAGTACGGGTTCCCGATTCCCTCCTCGCTCAGGCGGGGCCTCCCTGGAGGGGAGGGAGGGGCACGAAACCATGTAAATAGTATGGGTTTCCGATACTGTCCTCGCTCAGTCAGGCGGGGCCTCCTTGCTGGAGGGGTGGGATGCCCTCCTCGCTCAGGCGGGGCCTCCCTGGAGAGGTGGGAAGGGCACGAAACCATGTAAATAGTATGGGTTTCCGTTGCCCTCCTCGCTCAGGCGGGGCTTCCCTGGAGGGGCGGGAGTGGCAATGCTAGGAGGCGGGAGGCGGGAGGGAGAAGGAGAGGATGTTCTGGGAAAGCAAGAACCCGCGCCAGCACCGGCCACCGGCACCAGCACCGGCACCGGCACCGGCACCGGCACTGGCACCAGCACCGGGGGCCACCGGCACCGGCCACCAGCACCGGCACCGGCACCGGCACCGGCACCGGCACCGGACCGGCACCGGCACCGGCACCGGCACCGGCACCGGCACCGGCACCGGCACCGGCACCCGCACTGGCACCGGCACCGGCACCGGCACCGGGCACCGGCACGGCACGGCACCGGCACCGGCACCTGCACCGGCACCGGCACCGCACGGAAACGGCAGACACGATGGCGCTGCACTGCACCGGCGTGCACGTCGGCACCGGCACCGGCACCGGCACCGGCACCGGCACCGGCACCGGCACCGGCACCGGCACCGGCAGCAGCACCGGCACCGGCACCGGCACCGGCACCGGCACCGGCACCGGCACCGGCACAAGCACCGGCACCGGGGCAGGAATCGTTCATGCCTTGGGATGGAGAAACAGGGCCTTCCCCACATTTGTTTATTCTTCTTGCCGCTGGTCCTGCCGCTGCTGCTGGTTGAAGGATGCGATTCAAGACTGCTGCTGCTGCTGCTGAAAACTCACTACTCACTTCGTGTTGTCCCTCTTTTCCCCTCCTCGCTCCTTTTTCCTCCCTCCTTCCTCTTCCTCACTATTCAAGTTCCCTTTAGCAATTTTGCCCGAGATGCACCGCTGGACGAACAAGTTGTCTTATCAGTATTGCTTCGCAAGTGCCTCGTGACCACGCAACAGCTCCGATTGATGCCGGGCGAAGGGACTCTGCAGATTTAGCCACAGGGTGGAAGGAAGACAGGAAAGGAAGGAGGAAGGGAGGAGCGAGGAAAAAGGAGGAGGGGAGGAGGGGGAGGAGGAGGAGGAGGAGGAAGAGGAGGGGGAGGAGAGAGAAAAGGAGGAGGAGGAGGAGGAGGAGGGGGATAGAAACAGAAGAAAGGGAAAAGGACTGATGCTGCCACGCTTATATCGCGTGGAGAGGAGGAGGAGGTGGAGGAGGAGGAGGAGGAGGAGGGGGAGGAGGGGGAGGTTCGGCGGCGTCGTCGACAGAAGAGGTGCGCCAGCGTTCCGGAGGAGAGGAGGATGAGAGGAGGAGGTGGCGGAGGGGTGAGGGGAGGAGGAGGGAGAGGAGGAGGGAGGAGGAGGAGGAAGGAGGAGGAGGAGGAGGAGGAGGAGGAGGAGGAGGAGGAGGAGGAGGAGGAGGAGGAGGAAGGAAAGCAGGAGGATTATGGTACGATGCCACTCGGCCAGTATACACTACGGGCAGCGGTTTGCAGCTTCCGCACGCGGGAGCACCCGACGCTGGGCAGCCCGCACCGCACCCGGTGCCTCAACGGTGCGGGGCAGCCCTGCTGCCTCGCCCACGGAGGGCGCCCCAACCCAGGGAACGACCGGCTCTCCGGGCTCTACAGGGGCCCTTCCACGAGGGCCGACAGGGTCGCTGAGCTGGTGGCGTACGCGCTGGCGGCCAGCGTCTCCACTGTGGAGAAGGTCCACGGCGCGGAGGCCCCAAGGCGCACCAATCGCATTGATGGCTGGTCGCAGGGCTCAGTGAAGCAAGACATTGAGTCACCGATCCTTCTTGGCTGGCGAAGCATGTGTTCGATGCGATCGGCGCGACCATGAGGTCGCGGCCGCCCACTTCGACCGGGTTAAAGCCGTCCCGGGAGTCGTGGAGCACCTTCGCCACCAAAATTGGGCCGAGCACGCCCGCGGCGAGGTCAACTTCCAGCTGAACAGCACGGACTTGTACATCCGCCAGGAGGTACAGTCCGCGCCGTTGCCTGACCAGTTGCTCTTCGTTTGGTTGGCTCGGGTGTGGTTCCGGGTATACCACATATCGGGCGGGATCTCTGAACATTCCAGTGCGTTTGCGTTGGGCTTGTATTTGCCTTTCGCCGGCAGGTTCAACAAGGACCTCGCCGTGGGGCAGCTCAAAGAGGAGTACGCCGCTCGCACCGGCAAGCAGCTGGGCCAGGGCGCTCTCCGGCGGGACGCTTTCCTGGAGGCCGCCGCCGGGAAGGCGCCATGGGGCAACGCACCTCCCGGGCGGACATCGCGCGAACGTAGCGTTAGGCATCCGATACTTTGATTCCCGCGCCCCGCCAAAGGTGCTGCAGGCGTACCCCCGGTACCAGCTGGCCTTCTACACGCAGTCTTACAAGGACCTCGGCTTGGGCCAGCCGGCCAAGGGCGAGGACATTCTGGCGCGGACATAATACTTCCCGATTAGGTTGGCACCAGGGCCACTGATCGCCTCTGTCTAGAAAAGTGGTCATCGGGGCACCGACGGATTCTACATCAGCAGGACGAAAGTTTTTTCCTCTTGGACCCGGAACGAAGGTTTGAAGTCTGAAGCAGACGCGTGCGAGATACCCGCCGTCGGAATGAAGGTCGCGCGGATCCAATGTTGGTTTTGGTGTGCGTTTCGGTGGATCCGATTTCTGTCCGCGCGGATCCGATCTCGGATTTGCTGGATCCGTGTTCGGTCTTATTTTTCACGGCGGATCCGATTTCTACCCTGTTTTAAACTTATCTACGGGGGATGGGGGGTTCGGTAATTAAATCTCCACGATGGGCGTCGCGTCGTCCCGCGCACGCCCATCAGCTCCCCGCGCGCGCGGGTCCCATTCGAAATGAAAACATGCATCCCTTTCACCCTGGTTGCTGCAAACAGCTCGTCTGGTCGCCGTCCGTTCCGGCGCCGACGTTGTCCTGCGAACTCCTCATGGCCATTTGCACCTCGAGAGGAAAATCTTTCGTCCTGCGTAAGTACAGTTGCCGGAATGTGTAGAAGGCGCCTGCGTCTACATATGCACTTCTGATGTGTAGAATGTAGAAACACTGTCCGCCTTGCCCTTCCACTGCTGTTGTCTTCAAGTGTAGAATTCGCGCCGTTTCTACAACTGTTCTTGTGATGTGTAGAAGCACGTTCCGTTGTGCCCTTCTACATATTGCGCCTTCAAGTGTAGAATCTTCTTGCTTCTACAGATGTTCTTATGATGATAGAAGGATGCTCCGTTTTGCCAGTGTAGAAGCACGCTGTTTTCACTTATCCGCACGTGCGTAGAAGCACGTGGCGGGTTCCTAGGCCCCTGCTAGTCTGAGGATATGGGGACAACCTAACTTCCCGACCCAGGGCCCTGGGCCGCGTGACTCCGCGCATTTCCAACGCGGGCACAATATTTTGAAATCCTTGCCCTTGGCCTCCAGCTCAATGCCCCTAGAGGAGAAGCACAGGGAGGTGCTGGCGGACTTGCTCGCGGCGTTGCTCCGCAAGAAGGCCGCCGCGCGGGGCGACATCATCGCCCGCCGCGCCGCGGGTGCGCCGCCGATCGCTTGCCGCGTTTTGTGGTGGAGGCGCGCCCAAGCAATCATTCGTGTTCGCGCCCTCCCCGCCCCGCAGGCTTTCCAGAAAGCCGCGCGGGATCTGCAGGGCAAGGACAAGGGCATCTGCGAGGTCTTGGGAGAGCGGTTGTGCCTCAATCAGGACGCGTTTCTCCTGCTCTGGGGCTATCAGGGCAATGCCCTCGTTCCCCCCAACCCAGGAGTGGCACCGCATGATCGCGTGCCGGGACCTCGCGGGCCTGCGCCCGGAGCTGGTGCGCAAGCGGGGGTTCTCCTTGCATTCGAACTACTTTTTGGGCAAGAGCGCCAGGTTGGAGCTGGATGAATGCGCCGGCACGGCGCTGCCCGACCGAGAGCGCTTGCAGTCCGTACACGACAAGATCTTGCAACAGTTCGTGAACGCCCACCTGTGGGCCCCGTCGGGGTGGACGGTCTCCCACACGGAAGATCTTCTCTGCGAGAAGAAGTTCCCGGGGCCAAAAACTTGAACTGACCTTCTGGGGCCGGGTACGGGGGCGAGACCCGAGGTGGGTTTTGCGGGGACCTCCCCGGGAAGGCGTTGGACCGACAGGCGCGACAAGAACCAGGGCCGCAAGCGGGACAAGGGAGGGGTAGCCCGCATGGCAGACAGCCAAGCGCGGCGGCAGGCTTCGCCTTAGCTGAGCCATTGAACATAACCGGCGGAGGGGAACGAGCTGGAGGAGGACGAGGAGGAGGAGGAGCAGGAGCAGGAGCAGGAGCAGGAACAGGAGGAGGACCAGGAGCAGGACAGGAGAAGGAGGAGGAGCAAGAGAAGGACGAGCGGCGGGACCAGGAGGGGGAGGAGGACTTTTCAACGGACGCCGCCGCCGCCGTCGTCGTTGTCGCCTCCGTCGTCGTCTTCGTCGTTGTCGTCGTCGTCGTCGTCGTCGCCGCCGTCGTCGTCGTCGTCGCCGTCGTGGTCGTCCTCATTTGGTCGGCCCCGGGGACCAGAAGGGCGAACCGAGACCCTCTTGTCCACGATGCTCATTTCTCCCCCTCGTCCTGTCTCCTCTTGTGCGTTTCGTCCTCTCTCGTTGTCTCCCCCGTCCTTTCTCCAAGATTCTGGAGCTGACCCTGGCGATGACGACGGTGTTGACGATTACGACGGCGACGCGGACGACGATGACAGTGACGACGATGATGCTGATGATGATTACGATGACGACGACGAGGAAGATGAGGATAACGGGGGTGACGGTAGCGATGACGATAACGATGACTATTAATGTGATGATGATGAGTACGATGATGAAGACGATGGCGACGACGACAAGGAGGCCGATGGCGATGACAATAATGCTGGTGATGCTGATGATACTGACGATTACGATGACGACGACGATGAAGATGATGATGGCGATGATGACGATGACGACGGCGATGGCGATGATGATGGTGATGATGATGATGGTGATGATGATGATGATGATGATGATGGAAGCGATTACGATGACGATGATGGCGATGATGACGATCGAAACGGCGACGACGATGACGATGGTTATAACGATGACGATGACGGTGCTAACGATGATGATGACGACGATGATGATGATGATGATGATGATGATGATGATCGTGATGATGATGATGACGATGAACACGACCGAGACTGCGACGACGATGACGATAACAATGGTGATGAGGATGATGAGGATGACGATGACAATGGCGATGATGCTTATGATGATTATGGTGATTATGAGGGTCGGCCCCGGGGACCAGAAGGGCGAACCGAGACCCTCCTGTCCACGATGCTCATTTCTCCCCCTCGTCCTGTCTCCTCTTGTGCGTTTCGTCCTCTCTCGTTGTCTCCCCCGTCCTTTCTCCAAGATTCTGGAGCTGACCCTGGCGACGACGACGGTGTTGACGATTACGACGGCGACGCGGACGACGATGACAGTGACGACGATGATGCTGATGATGATTACGATGACGACGACGATGAAGATGATGATAACGGGGGTGACGGTAGCGATGACGATAACGATGACTATTAATGTGATGATGATGAGTACGATGATGAAGACGATGGCGATGACGACAAGGAGGCCGATGGCGATGACGAAAATGCTGGTGATGCTGATGATACTGACGATTACGACGACGACGACGGTGACGATGACAATGGTGATGAGGATGATGAGGATGACGATGACAATGGCGATGATGCTTATGATGATTATGGTGATTATGAGGATGACGACGACGAGGATGAGAGGGGAGGAGGACAAGGATGAGGATGACGACGACGATGACGATGCAGGGAGGCCCAGACCGTTCGGCGGCTCGGATTGCTTGCTTGCGGCCCGAGGGAGTGTTGAGGGAGTGTTTTCGTCCTCCTCCTCCTCCTCCTCTCCTCCTACTTCTCCTCCTCCTCATCCTCCTCAGGCACGTGCTCGCGCCCTCGTTCGAGGGAAGGAAAGGCGACACCACCACCACCAGGGAGGCCTCCTCCAGAGAGGAGGTCCACGATGCCCTCGCGGGCTGGGGGTGGGGGATACCACCCCGCACCTTTCAGGCACGTGCTCGCACCCATCGTATCGAGGATGTGTCGAGGATGACGATGACGGTGTTAACGATGATGATGATGATGATGATGATGATGATGATGATGATGATGATGATGATGATGATGATGATGATGATGATGATGATGATGATGATGATGATGATGATGATGATGATGATGATGATGATGATGATGATGATGATGATGATGATGATGATGGTGGTGGTGGTGGTGGTGGTGATGATGATGATGATGATGTTGATGATGATGATGATGTTGATGATGATGATGAGGATGATGTGGATGATGAGGATGATGAGGATGCTGATGACGATGATGATGGTCGTGATGATGATGATGACGATGACCACGACTGACACTGCGACGACGATGACGATGACAATGGTGAGGAGGATGATGAGGATGACGATGACGATGGCGATGATGCTCATGATGATTATGGTAATTATGAGGATGACGATGATGACGGTGACGAGAACGACGAGGATTACGATGACGACCGCAAGGGGATGATGATGATGATGATGATGATGCTGATGATGCTGATGACGATGACCACGACCGAGACTGCGACGACGATGACGATGAAACTGGTGATGAGGATGATGAGGATGACGATGTCGATGACGATGATGCTTATGATGGTTATGGTGATTATGAGGATGACGATGACGCCGACGAGGTCGACGACCACGACGACGACGATGGCGATGAGGATGATGATGAAGACGACGACGATGACGACGGTGACGAGAACGACGAGGATTACACGATGATGATGATGATGATGACGACGGTGACGAGAGATGACGACCACGATGATGATGATGATGATGATGATGATGATGATGATGATGATGATAATGATGACAATAATGATGATGATGATGATGATGACGATGATGATGATGATGATGATGATGATGATTATGATGATGATTATGATGATGATGATGATGATGATGATGATGATGATGATGATGATGATGATGATGATGATGATCGCGATTCGAGCGTTGAGGGAGTGTTTTTCGCGGGTGACTCAGATCGGCGGGGGGCGGCTGGCTACTTGAGGCCAGGCTCCGGTCCATGTGGCGGGTCCTCGGCTTCAGGAAGCGCGTCTGTGCGCCGGATATCTTCTCTGACGTGGGGGTCGCGAAAGCGCGGCGCATGCGTTAGAGAGCGGGCGATTCCTTGAGACACTCTTCCCTTGGCGCTCCCCCTTCTCCCACCCTCATCCTCATCCTAGTCGTGATGCCTCAATTGTTTCTTTCCCTCCCTTCCCGCTCCCTCGTCGCCCGCCCTCCTGATCCTCCTTCTCCTCACCTTCGTCGTCAGACGCGCTCCCAGCGCAGCTTGTTCGCCAGGCTAGTCTCTAGTGCATGGAAGGTGACACTGTTTGCGTGGCTGCTTTACCGCGTGATGTTTGGGCGCCCGCCGTACGTTCTCTTCTTCTCATTTTCCTCCTTCTCCTCATTCCAGCTCTTCGGACGGCGGTAATTTAGGGACACGGCTTGGGAGCGCATCTTGCACCGCCGCGTGGGGCGCGGCAGTGTAAAATCAAAGACTCCTTCTTCCCCCATCGTTCCCTCTCCATCCCTCTCTTTGCCCCGTCCTCCCCCCTCGTGCGACGGACTCGGTGGCGCTCGCAACCACCTAACCGCTTCCGACTTGGCAAGGCGGCCAGGGGAGGCCCCGCGCGCCACCGCCCAAGGCCCAGGATCGATCAATCGAGGATTTTGGTTTTCCGTGGTTTTCGGTCTCCCGGGGCCCAGCGCTTTCCCTCGGGGTTTGGCGCCTCCAGCGCCTCCCTCGGGGCTGGCGTTTCTCCCTGGCCGTGGCTTCACGCCCCAGGTTCGGGGTGAGATCGCGAGGAGGAGATCATGAGGAGGATGACAAGGCGGAGGAGGAAGAGGAGGATGTCGAATATGAGGAGGATGAAAAGGCGGAGGAGGATGAGGAGGATAGCGCCAATTAACTCAGTAAAACAAGTTGCAAATCCATTCAATAATATTTCTTGTTGCATTGCAGATGTTCTTGTGACTTATCAAGACCTCTCGGCGGATATCCGATTTAAGAAGCATTTAAGGCTCAAGCGCCCAAGTGGTACAATGCCGAATTCACAGCAGCGTCGCCCGCGCAAAGTCAGCCGCCCTCGATGGGGCAGCCGGTTGCCAGCTAGCGTACGTCAGGCTTTTTGCAATGCGGCTTGGGCGAACATTGACAAAACAATGAGGAGGGCTTCCCAGGCCCCGCGGAAGCGGCGCCGCCCCCCGCCAGGACAGTTGCGTCAGCCTTCCGTCTCCCTTAAAAAATCCTTTCAAGGTGCGCGCGGAAAGTTGTGTTTTCTTGTGGGTTGGCCCGTCTGCGTTGCATGCCAGCCCCCCCCCCCCGATCCTGGCAGGAACGCCTCCTGACGTGGACGTGAGGCCGGCCCACGCTGTCGCTGAGATGCCAGCGGTTGCGGACAGGCCGATCGCCTCTGTAACATCGTTCGATACCCCTCTCAAGGGGGCGCACAAACTTAGAAACGTTTTGTGCTGATTTGTTTCGTTGGGGATTGGCCGCCGCTCCCCCTTCTCGTCCGGGCGGGGGGGTGCAGCGTTAAGCAGTTGCGGATCCTGTCAGGGACGACCGACGTGGAGCTGACATCGGTCTCCCAGAACGCTTGGCAGCTGGCCGGACGCCCCAACGGTTGGCCTTGTTGCAGACGATGCACGTTTTCCACCGGCCCGCTGCGCCGTTAACCGACCCAGCCACGATATGCCCGGGCAGCTTCGCAGTGCATGGTGGCCGCCCAGCCTTCGTCGTGGGCCTCTTCAAGCGGCGCGGGGTCCAAATGGCGGACATCTTGCCCCTTCGAGGCCTCCCCGCCTGCTGTCTCGTCTCAGGTGCCGCCTCCGTCCATCCCCTGCCACAGTTGATCCGTCGCCTCATCTGTCGCGCAGATTCTTAACTCATTCGCTCACTGTCTTGCTGGATGACGTCTTGATGCTCGGGGCCAGGTTATCTCGTTCAGTTTCTTAATGCCTTCTCCTGACGAGTCCCGCGCCTTATGGTCTTGTTGTTGTGTTCCCATGTTTTCGGTCGCCCTGCAGCCATTTGCAGACTAGCCTGCAGCCAGCTCCGCGCGCGCGCGCGCCAGGCGCCGCCGACACTTGCTGCAGCATGTCGCCCCCTTGCACGCCTCGGACGGCAAGCCCTCCTGCTGAGTGGCCAGACACCCCAGAACGATGGGCCGAATTCCCGTTGGAGGTCATGCAGCCGCCGGTTCAACCACCGAGACCGCCTGGGCTATGGCTCGTGTGGTGCGCGGGCAGCCGGCGCCGTACTGCCGGTTGGTATTGGTACGCGGCGCCCGGGGGCCCTGGGAGCGCTCCGGGCTCTGGCAATCAGTCGAGGAATGCCCGCCGTGCTGATCAGCGCCAGCGCGCGCAAGGACGTGCTGCTCAGTGAGGGCCCCGCCCGTTGCCATGTAGATGCGTCGTTCGGGCCCCGCCCGTTGCCTTGTAGATGCGTCGTTTTACAGTCGCGCGCGGGGGCTCGACGACCTCTAAGAGCACGCCGCCGCGTGGGGCGCGGCAGCGTAAAACAATGCTGTTTGTTAGGCGGGTCACGCATTCGCCAGACAGGCGGAACCGCTCTTGCACGCTTCCCGGCATCGCCTCTGCATAGCTTTTCTATGCAGGCATCCCCAATGGGATCTGTCATTCTGTCAACGAAAGCCTGTTTTGCTTCGACATCTTTGCTTTACGCGCGCACGCGCCCCCCTCCTTTCGCAATGATCTTCGGGGCGGCGCCCCCGGAAATCATGATAATCGTATAGGCTTCTGTGGGCAAGGGGCAGATCCCACGGAGAATTCTCGTGCGCGCCTGCTTGCTATCATCCGTCATTCGTCGCGTCGCCGCCGCTCACTCGCTTTGTGATTCCGCCTTCGGGCAGCGCTGCCAGCTATGTGCCCTCGATGCCATTGCTTCGCCCTCCAAGCTGGCGTTCCCCCATGCATCGTTTGGTTTCGGGCGCCCTTCGCCCGGCCCCAGGCGACGGCGACGACATGACCGCTTCCCGCTACTCGTTGCAGCAGTGTCACCTGGCGGAGCTCGAGGATGCGGCCGGCAGCGCCTTCGCCTTGATCTCACGCGGCAGCCGTCTACGTCGCGGCCTGCTTCGCTTCCGCGCTACCCGCGCCTTGACGGCGCAGGAAGAGGCCGCTGGCTCTGCGGCCGCTGACGCCTTGGCAGACGTGCTCCGTGACCTGGCAGCGGGGGCTAGGGCCCTGCCTGACGGCCCCTCCCACCCGTGGTCGGCGGGGGAGCGCTGCCTTCGCGTAGAGGAGATCGTCCCAGTCGCGGCGCGGAACCACTTGCTGGAGACGCGCGCAGCTGGGTGCGAGCACACGTTGCGCCCCCGTTGGAAGTTCGAAGCCAAGCTCCTGCATATTTTAGACACGCCCCTGCCCCGGCAATTCGAAGTGCGGAGGTGGCGTTGCTTGCAATGTGGAGCTTCTTTTTCGGTCGAGCCGAGCGACGTCCTGGACGCTTGCCCATCGGCGCTCCGTTGCGCAGACCCGCGGCGCCCCGCCTGCGGCTTCTATTTCACGCGGCCCTTCCTAGTCATGCTCTTGCAGAAGTTCATGGAGGTCCTGAACCTGCGCGCAGTGCGGCGCTCCTTGTTCGAGTACTACTCGAACAATGCCCTCGCGATCATCGGTGGCGCTCGTAGCCTGTGGTTCCTCGAGGCAATTCCTGATAATCGCGTGCTGCGACATTGCATTTGCCTCGCGCTCGAGGGGTACCTGCCCGGCGAGGTGGCGCGCATGCAGCGGGAGATCCACGTGTATTCGGGCGCCGCCGTGAAAGGCGACGGCAATAAGAAGTTGGCCACCATAATCCAGGAGATGACCGGGGGCGCTCACCTTGACTCGTGCTGTCCACGTGGTGGGTTGGGTGGGGGCACGGGGGGAGGCGGGTCAATGGTGGCGCCCGTGGTCGCGCCAGGAGAGGCAGCCAGTCGACGGCGACGGGGCGCCGCGCCGGTCCCACCGCGCGCGGCCGTTCGCCAACGTCCACGCCTGGACCGGGATCGATGGCGCCCTCCTCAAGCCCGTTGTCGCGATGGAGACAGAGGATTGGCCCGACCTCAAGGCTTATGCGGATGCAGATCGCCCGGGGCCTACTACCCATCCTGATATTCTCTAGTGTAGGGCATACTGATGGCCTCAGGCTTCCCTAGAGTTGGGCCGACTGAAGGCCCTAATTAGGCTTGCCAGGGCCAGGGCTTACTGAAGGCTAGGCTTGCCGAGGGTAGCGTTTACTTATGGCGTTAGGGTATCCCTAGGGTAGCCCAAGGGTAGCCCTGCGGTTAACCCAAAGGTAGCCTTTAGAGTTGCCCTAGGGTAGCCCCTAGGGGTAGGTAGCCCTAAGGATAGGCCCTAGGGGTAGCCCCAGGGTACCCCTGGGGAGCCCACCCCTAGGGGTAGGCTTAGGGTGATCATGGGAGTAGGCCCTAAGTGTAAGCCTAGGGTGGCCTTAGGGGTAGGCCTTAGGGGATGCCTCGGGCAGCCCCAGGGGTAGGCCGCAGGGGTGGGCCTAGGGTAGCGCAGAGGGGCAGGCCCTACGAGCAAGCTTAGAGTAGCCTTGGGGCTAGGCCCGACGGGTAGGCTTAGGGGTTAGGCCTGGGGTAGCCTTCCTCGGGCGATTTGCAAGGCAGACTTGGGGGAGCTGCTCGACTTGATGGCGGCCAACCGCTCCAGCGCAGGGCTGCCGCCGCAGGCGGTGGCGCCCGCTAGCCACTCCACGGACGTGTACGGGAAGCACCGAAAGCTGCTGAGGTCGCTGCATCACAGTAAATTCCCGCCCATGCGCTTCCAAGTGCACGCCGACGCGCCCAAGGGACAGGCTCGGGCGTGCTCCCTGGCGGCCTCGCACGGGCCCGGCGTCGTCGTCACCGGAGAGCCTATGCATTGCGTCTTCGAGGTCAGGAGGCTCGTCCCCGCGAGCGCCAACGACACCAAGGTGTTCCTGGCGGACTACAAGGACGCCATCACCCGGTTGTCGGCGGCGAGTCCCCCGCCGAAGGGCGACGGCGCGGGCCAGCCTGAGGACCTCGAGCACGAGGCGGAGGCCCTGCTCGAGAGGTCCGTGAGCCAACTCCCCCCGACGTTCCGGCGGGAGGCGGCGCTCGACCCTGACAACATGGAGCGCGTGCGGACTTTCCTGGCCCAGCCGCGCTGCGCCAGGGCAGGCACCTGGAAACGCGTCTTCGGTTCTCAGCCGCCCAGGGGCGCGCTGGCCCGGATCGCCCGCCTCTGCGGTGCCCAGCTGGACAGCTCCGCCTCGTATCGCAACTACCGCACCGACAAGGCGTTCAGGGCCGAGCTGCGGCGCGTGCAGCGCTGGTACCGACCGGGGCGCCGAGAGCGACGGTGGCGCGCCGGCATCGTGCGGGACCGGCGGCAGGCCGCCCACGTCAAGGGCGTGCGCAGCGTCATCACGCGGAAGGTGCGCGACCACTTCCGCAGGATGCGCCGCCGCGTCAAGGTG